CAACATGATATCAGATCCAAGTTCTATCCCAAAAAACCCGTTGTTAGCTCACCTAACAAGACCCAAAGGCTCGAAGAGTACAAATCTTGTATTTAAGGGGCTTGTTAACCCATGTGGCGTGTTGAAGTAGAAAAATCCCATATCGACCCACGTGGCATGTTGAAGTAGAAAAATCCCATATTGAGTATTAAAATAAAAAGTTTGTGAGTTAAATACAAGGAAGGTCACTCCACCTATTACCAATTAATTTTAGATTAAATGCAAATCTTGTGCTGAGCTCACATGCACAGTTTTCAACACCCATTTTTACCCGGTAAACACATTTCTCTTAACTCTTTTATATTAGGACTTGCTTGACTAGTTTTTTTCTAAATTAATTAATCTTCTCAAAGAGTTATAATTTCGACAAAACTGCTTTACTAACTTTTCCTAATAAAACATTTTAAGAAAAACCTCTGATTTAATCAGGCTCGAGTTTTCCCTGTAAAAAGATCCAGGCAAACCGAGCTTTACAAAATTATTGGCTTAGCCCACAATTTTGTTAATCTTGACACAAAAATTATGCAAAAAAAGAAAAATAAATGACTATAGAGTGATTTAATAGAATTACTTTTAAATATAATAGATTCTTTGAATATAATTGATTATTTTTTAAAGTAATCAGTCACTTTTTCAAGGAAAGTTTTCTCACCTTATCTTTCGGAAGGAAAAACATTTTCGGGTGATATCACAATATAACCAGTTGTATCACATTATAGTGAATGATAAAAAAAATGTTTATCAATTAGATTTAAAAAATTAAGAAAAAGAGTCTATTAAAATTATATTATTTTAATAAAATTTTATTTAAAAAATTAAAAAATTCTGTTTTTAAAGTAAAAATAAAATTATTTAACTCTTTTTTAATTATACTTTATTGAAACATTCTAATTTTAAAATATTTTTTCTTTTAATTTTAAAAAATTTAACTAAAAAACATTAATTTTATAATCAATTTTATTTTTTATTTTTTTATTTTTTTTTCAAAATTCTTACTTTCAAGGGCAAGCTGCTCAGCTCCCCTAGATTCTTTTTCAAGGAAAATCGGAACAAAACATATGGTCAAATGCTACTCAAATCTAGCCCAAATAGACCCAAATAAGTAGTTAAATACTGCTCTCTTTATCCTCGATAACATGTCCAACATTCCAATGGCCAAAAAAAAAAAGTTAAACTGCTCAAATTTGTGGGCTCCTTTTCGTATTCAAGTAGTAACAAAACCAACTAGCCCAAAAAAAGGGGCCCAATATAGCACAAACTCAGTACTAACAGGAAAAATTAAACTTCATTGGATCAGCAAAAGAAGGGTGGGTAAATTGAGGTCATGAAAAAAAGAAAGGACTAACTCAAAGCATTCTTTTTTTAATAAGCCAAAATTTTATTTATTTGGTATAAGGGTGCCTAACCCATGAAAGAACCACTATTTACAACGATATTACCATTCCCACCCTATCAAACAGTACAAAAGTCGGGGCAATATCCCAAATCCACGTGAAGCCTACACCTGAGTTTGTCTACCAATTGCCTCTTTGGGCTCACAGCGTTCCATAACTCCCGCTGTAAATCCAAGAACAAATTTGCCTTTAACCAGTAGAAAGACCAGTACTTAATGAGCTCTCGTACCTCGTCTTCATTGTCTTGCTCTTTCCCGAACACTTTTCGATTCCTCAAAATCCATAGGTTAAATCCCTTTTTTGGTCCCTCAACTCCAAAAAATCCCTGACTTGGTCTTGGTCCCTACTGTTTTCCTTTTTTACCCAAACTTAGCCCTTCTGTTAAAAATCTCCACATGTATTGTTAATTCACGGTAAGATGATGATATGTCAAAATGTTAATCTACTTGGAAGACAACATGGCAAAAATATAGTGATATGGCAAAAATATAATAATATAATAAAAAAGCTAAAAAAATTCTTTCTTTTTCCTTTTTCCTTCTCTTTCCCTTTCTCTTTACCCTTGGGATCGTGGGTTCCTTGGAACCCAAGTGTTGGGTTCAACAAACCTAAGCTTAGGTTCCTTGGAACCCGGCACTAGGTTCGGACGAACCTAGATCACCTGGGTTCCTTGGAACCTGGCACTAGGTTTGTTGAACCCAAGCTTGGGTTCCTTGGAATCCAATTGGGTTCAAAGGAACCCATTGCTAGGTTCGATGAACATAGGCTCTAGGTTCCTTGCAGCCCGACGCTAGGTTTGGACGAACCTAGGCACTGGGTTCAATTGAACCTAGATCGCCTGGGTTCCTTGGAACCCAATTGGATTTGAAGGAATCCATCACCTGCGTTTGATGATCCCCGGCTCTGGGTTCCAAGGAACCTAGTGCTAGGTTTGATCGAAATTAGGCAAAAAAATAAATAAATAATTTCTGTGTTTTTGTAGGTGTTGTTTGATGATGATGATGAAGAATTGATTGATGAAGAAGGAAAGGAAGAGGAAGGAGAAAAGGAAAGAGGAAGGAGAAAGAGAATTTTTAAAATTTTTATTGCCATGTCACTATTATTTTGCCATGTTGTCTTACACGTGGGTTAATATTTTGATGTGTCATCATCTTGTCATGAATTAACAGTACACGTGGAGAGATTTTTAACGGAACGACCAAATTGGAGTAAAAATAATAAACAGTAGGGACCAAGTTAGGGATTTTGAGTTGAGGGACTTAATCAGGATTCATACAATAGTTGAGGGACCAAAAAGGAGGTTGAACCAAATCCATAGAGTCCCTATAGTTGCAAACCATACCACCAGCCAAAACAGGCATTCTATGAAACTCCACCTCGATACCAAACTTTTCAGAAAGTGCTCCCAAACCCCTTCCAACCGCAGCCAATCCATCGCCACGTGCATATTTAGAAACAGGATTGTTAATTCCTTGTAATATGGACATAAGGAGCACATCCACTGGAGAAGACTACATATCTATCTCCATAAGTAAAATTATCTCATCCACTAGCTTCTGAATTAAGATATATATATTAAAGAACATAACAACATGTGAGATAAACAGAAGGCTTCAAAGGACTTACCAATTATACAGCCACAAAAAACAAGGCCCGAACCAGCCTAATCTTGTATTTCTCCCCACAGACCAATTAATCCCCACTACGCAACCATGGAGCTACTCAGACTACCAATCCATTTCCATAAACCTGATGGGAGCCTGCACATGCTCTTTGCACTCTGGTCGCGCCCAGCACTCTGGTCGCGCCCAGAACCCGATGACCTATTCATGCACCGCCAATCCAATTCTCGGTCGGCAAAGATCATGACCATGGTGTGGAATGCCTCCAGCGCCCACGCCAAGCTCGTCAAGACGAAGTCCCTTAGCTGCCACGACCCGAATTTGCCACACTATTGCCACCCTACATGACAATCCAAATATCATGACTTGAATCCAAATATCATGACTTAAAAAATGACTTGATGCTCCAAAAGGTGCCCCACCCACTAGGATATATCCACAAGCTAAGCAGACATATGTAAGTATCTAATTCTTTTATGATATTAATTATATTTTATTTTAAATGTTAATCAAATTTAAATTAGTTTAACTAATGAAAATTTTATTTTTGCAACAAAATGATGCTCACCAAAAATATGTGGAGAAGCCTAGGCCAAACAAGGATTTATGGCCAGAATGGGATTCACTTATCCGAAAGGAGGTGATTGGACCCCTTAAAAAGGTCAAATGAGAGGGATGTCCACATTATAGGATCCAGCAGAGCATGGCATCCCTTGGCGATGGTATGACATGAGTGAGGCCTCATCCTTTACTACCAGAATTCTTATGACACAAGTCCAGCAGTTGCAATCTAAGCTTACTCAAGTTCGGGAAGAAATGGCGCAGCGAGTTCAAATGAAGGTGGCTACATGTATTCAAACGGAGGTATCACAGAGAGTATCGAAGTTGGAGGCCAGTTTTGAGAGGAGATTCCAAGAGCATATGCACGCACTTACTTATCCATCAATATTCTCTAGGTTTTGCATCGCCTCAAACTGGTGGTCCTTCTTCTAGAGGGTCTAGACCTAACCACTTATCACCTCCTACTTAGGGACATATTGATCTTTTAAACTTATATTATATATGTTTATATATGTTAGTGCATTGTATATATATATATATATATATTGTATAGGATGATAAGTTACTATGTATTATATAAATATATAAAATTTTAATAACTTAGACTAGTTTTAGTTATGAAGCATTAGAGTTTATATTAACAAGATATATAATATTAATAAAAAAATTAACAATCGTAAAGTAAAAAGAACAAAAAAACTATAATACCATATTTTGTAAAGCAATAGTACATATTTTCTCTTATCTAACTTATAATTTTTATAATCAATTACAAGCTCAAAAAAAAATGATTGTTAGTAGCTTTAAAACCAAAAATTTTATAGGAGAATCAATAAAAAGAAACTCAAAAAATAAACCAAAAAATAACAAAAACAAGAAAGAGAAAATTAGATAAACTAAATTTCATGATAGGATAATTATAGTTTTTATAGGGCATTTGCTTGGAATCAACCAACATATGCCAATAAAAAAAAACATATTGAATATCAATTTATAGAAATAGTATATTAGTTTAAACATATAAATTAAAAATGGAAAAATAAATTTTAATTAAAAAAAAAGGAACATAATTGTAATACCCCAAAAATTTCTAGAATAAATAAGTGTGAGTTAGGGACTAACTTGTGAGGAAATATTATTAGTGAACCTAATGCCAATTTGTGTTAAATTCAAGGGGCTTAAAAGAGGAAAATTTGGATAAGGATGGCTTATTTCTTTTCTTTTTCTTCCTTTCTTCTTCAACCCGCGTGCTTCTGCTCTTCCCGACCCTGCTGC